TCTGCAGCTAAAAGTACTTAAAGAATGAAAAATAAATGTACTCTGTATTATGCAGAATGTGTTATAATATTATAAATATGTTATTATATATTACTGTTTATAATATCGTATGTATTTTATTTATATTATATTATATATTACAGTATAGTTATTTTAAAAAAACACACACAGAAGAACGAAAGTTTCCTGGATGAGATCAGGGACTTCCTGGTTGCCTGGCAACCGGTGCTAGCCAAGAAATATTTTGGTAAACAACAAAACAAAACTACGATGTGACGTATGTGACAACTTATTTTTTCAACAGGATATAATGTGTTCATTAGTGAGGTTTTGAGGTTTTTGTCAGGAAGAGCCATGCTAACCTTTTCCCTTTGTTTCCAGTCTTTGTGCTAAGCTACGTTAGCCGGCTGCTGGCGGTGGCTTTATTTTTACCGTACGGACACGAGAGAGGTTTCGATCGATATAGCTTGACTTCCTCTCGGTAGTTTGTGTCAGTTAGCGAGTTCGACAACAACATGTAGTTAGAAATTTACCTTTTAACAATAATTTAACTCGTTTTTAGCAAGTTTCTTTATTTTTATTCCTCCAAATATCGTAAAACAATAAAATACAATAAATAAAAATAAATAAATAAACATCGAACCACTGAGGCTGTAACATTACTCCAAGATAAAAGCCTCGAGGGAATTTCTCCAAACGTCCAGTTGGACTCGAGCGTGAAGTGATTACAGTTTGTGGCCAAAGGTCAAAGGTCAAGATTACCATGACCTCACATCATTCTTGTGAAAGCGATATTTCAGGAGCACCTGGAGGGAATTTCATCACATTCAGCACAAACAGACTCGAGGATGAACTGATTAGATTTTGGAGGTCTAAAGTCGCCGTGACCTCACAAAAACACCTTTTGGGGGAAATTAAATAGTAATAAATTATGACGAAATGAGATAAAACATTGAAGATATTTGATGACAACTTCACTGTGAATTTTTTTATGGACATTATTTAACGCCATAACTCAGGAACAGAAGAAGAGATTGTGACCATATTTCAGATTTGGTCAGAAAATGATGAAAATGTTTGTGAATCGTCCACATTTTAAAATGTTTTTTTGCAGCAACATCTGCATTTAAAGCTACAACTTTAATTATATTATTATATTATATTATGTGTTTGTATCCAGTTGGAGCTCAGTTGTGGCTGGAAAGTGTTTAATAAGCATTAGCTCCTTGTCGCAGGAGTTTGGACTGAACGTGACGCACAGAATCCTGAAAATAGATGAATTTAATAAACTTTTTTTTAATAAGACCTTTTACCTTTCAAGAGAGTGGAGACGCTGTTAGCAGCAAAGCTTCAGTCAACAGATTCATAACTTTAGAATCGGACCATCAATCGGTTCGTATACCGATGTCGTCTCATCTATAACGTCCCGGTGAATCTTTACGCCTCTAGTTACACACAAAAAGACATTCGGCAGGACAAGAACAATCAAACTCAACAAAGTCAAATCAAATCAATGTTATTTATATATCACAAAGTTGCCTCAAGGAACGTCACAATCTGAACGGCGAACATCACCCCTCGGCCCAGATGAGGAACAGCTCCCATTAATGGGAGGAAGAGCAGTTTGTTCCTCCCTGAAAAGGGTTTCAGTGTTGTGAATCAAGTCCAGTCTTTATTGATTTTGGACACCAAGGTTCTTGTATGAGTCAACCCTCTATACTTCCTCTCCCTGGATCACAGCCAGGACAGAGGGCCTCCTGTTCTACTGATAGTCCACCACAAGCTCTTGGATTATACTTATATTGAGCTTCAGGTGACTGTCAGGTCATTGCACCATGTGACAAGCTCCCTATCAGTCCTCTGTGCTCGTCTGTAAAAAATAGTCTCTAAGTGAAGACGGCGTGTTTCTCCTGAGGGTTTTCCCATCAGAAAGAATCCTGCATCGACCAGTACGATTCAATATATAACCTGTAATTTATCAACCTTGAGTGTGGCGTTTGTTGGTTTCAGCGGAGGCCACGTAAAGCGAGTTGAGCTGCTCTCATTGGCTGCTCTTGGTTTGGATTATGTTTTATGTTTGTGAACAAATTTTAAGAGAGAAATAGTCAACAACAGAATCTGGATCACTGCTTTCCTGAGGAGACGGAGAAGACCGGTGATTCAGGACAACCATGACAAGAAGAACGACGTTGTCATTTAGACGAGGCGACACGTCCCGAATCAAGAGTGAAACATGAATTATTTAAGGTGTAAAAGGTTTTATCGAGCTGAGTTTACCTGTATTGGATTGTCTCCGATGTGTCGAGGCTCGAATTGGTCATCAGGATTCTCTACGATGTTGAAAGAGGAAAATGAAATTGATCTGAAAATTAAACACAGCAATGTAAGACTCTTTCTATATAATCTATATTATATTTATGACTGTGGTTGTTTGGGTATTTCCTCTCAGATTATGGACAATGTTTCCAGGAAGTGTCCTAAACCTGCATTCTCTGTAATGACCAGTAGGGGGCAGCTCCACTGGTTGCAATAACACACAGATACCATTCAGTCTTATGGAGAAATGAGCCGACTTCTCAGTTGATTTATTCCCTCAGTAAACAGTTTCCTGATGAGTTTCTGGTCTCAGTCTCTAGTTTTCAGTCTTCTTCCATACAGCATGATGTTCATTTAGTAACTGTGGTCCCATTTTAGAGTAAAACAGACCATAAAGCAGGGGATGCTTTAGGGCGGGGCTACCTTGTGATTGACAGCTCATTCTCAGTGAGTCCGTCCAACGCACCAAACTCCAGATCAAACTGTCAAACAGTGCTGATCAGATATG